GTTCATTTATATGTCTTATAATGTTCCAGGCAGTTTTTCTACATTTAACACTGTTGTTTCTTTATATTTTCTTGCATTGAATATGCTTTTTAACTATTTTATCAGTTTTGTTTACATTGGTTTTTAGAAGATGACCTTTTCCTGCTAAGATGATGATCTGTATATCTGTAGGGGTAAAGTACCAGACTGTTTTTCAACATTCAACACTGCTATTTCTTCCTACACAAGGGTCTCTCTCTTACATAATTCCCCTTCCCGGGGTGACAAGGAGAAAAGAAAAATTCATATAAATTTGAAGAATTTACGTAAATTTTTCTTAGTACATGGTACATTGAACTCTGTAAAAATCCAAGTGGGGCTACTAGCTAACTGAAAACAACAGTGTATCCTGTAACTAACACCGGTCAATCTTAACTGGACCAGCTGGGCCCATTCCTCCTGTGGCCACTCCTTGATACTGGCTACTTTCTCAAAATGCTCGAAGAAGCTCTCTGCCTCTTCGGGCACAAACAAGGGAATGTCCTTCTCCCTAACCCTAACCTCTGGTGGGTGTGATACCTGGGTGGTGCTCTCTGGCAGCCCATGTTCAATCCTTTGTTCAGCCAAGGTTCTATTCGCTTCTATCTGCATTTGTTTTGTTCTCTCTTTTTCTTTTTCCACCTCTAGCCTTGCTTTCTCTTTTTCTTTCTCCACCTCTAGTCTTGCTTTCTCTTTTTCTATCTCCACCTCTAGTCTTGCTTTCTCTTTTTCTATTTCCAGTCTGGTTTTCTCTTTCTCCTTCTCGGCTTCATTTTTCATCTGGAGTTCCAATTTCATCTTTTCCAGCTGGAACTGTCTCTCCTCACGCTGTTGTTGGATCTGGAGCTCTAACTGGAATCTCTCCAAGCTCCTATTTCGGCTATTCCTACTACTGCGGCTACTCTTGCTGCTCCTACTCGATCCCTGGGATCTCACTTCATCCTGCCCATCATCCTCCTTTCCACTTTCAGCTCCTTCCTGGGCTCCTTGTTCTGCCGCTTCATTTTTGGCTCTTAACTGCCTCAGGATCTCATCCTTCATCCCAGCTACTTTAGATGCTTTCAACCTGATGCCACATTTTTCTGCTATTTGTTTCAATTGATCCCTCGTGCAACCTTCTAAATCCTCAGGCTTGCCTGACTCCACAAACGCTTGCACCTTATCCATCTTTGTCCTGTGAGTCTTCCCAAGAGAGAGAGTATACACCTGCGGTCACACAGTTTATCTCAGCAGGGGTGTACAAATCCACTCTTGGACAGGGTGTGGGTGTGTCAGTTCACTATCCCGGACAGGCCCCCAATTTATTATAGACTGTGGGTTGGTTGGTGTTGTCGTCGTCGATCCTTCTCTATGGACAACCCAACCCCCAACTCGGCAGAGTGCTTATACTAGGAGATCACCCTTGGCGCTTCTGGCTCTTGGAGAGGGGCTCAACGTCACACGTTTAGGGGATGCGGCTCCAACACTTAGCCTCGTTGTCACGTGCACACACCCACTCGAGCCGCTGTGACTCCCCACTCTCTCCTTATGAGATATGATCTCCTCAATCCCCTATGACTTACTAGTATTACCTCTTACCCTGTCCACAGCAGTGGTTCTTGGTTCTTTCTCTCTCTCTCTCCTTCTTCACTACTTCCTGGGAAGCCTCACTAGGACAAGGGCAAACACCAGCAAATTGTGACACATTTACTGGACAAAGCACATACACAATACATACACACATATAATAATAATGAATCCTATACTCTATAATATCACAATCAGGTTGCACTCCAATACCATCAGAACTCTATTATCAGCTTATCAAGTGGTATCCTATCTCCTGGTTCGCCACCTGATACCATTAACCTCCTCAAGTTGGTCAAGCCTACATACACTGTTGCACTATCAGCAAGATAATGTATATATAGAAAATCAGCATTTGAATGCAATAACATATACCAGTATAAATGTTCATTGATACACAACAATGATTAATCGATCAATATCAGTCCTAGAACGCATACATCTGTAGGTAATCAAGCCTACGACTGTAACTCTAAACTTCAGTATAAAACACTCCTTGACATAAGAATGCAAACAGTCACTCACCTCTCACTGCGTCTTGCACGCTAATGACAACCAAACACTATCAACTCCCTACTAGTAATCCACCAGAACTTCCCCTTCCACCTCTGGAAGTTCACTACCCTAATATCTTTAGGTTCTTCCGGGCTTCACTACCAGGATCCTCTGCAGCTCCCCCAGGCTGCTATCATGAAGTTTCCTTGTGCAACTACGGTGCTTCACCCTTCTGTTAGGTTCTTCCACAGCTCTCTTGGCTGCTACACCACCTCTACAGAAACACGTGACACTCCTCTTCACTGCTTCTCCTCACAGCTCGAGGTCCTCTGCTCCACTACCTTGGAGTCTCATCAGCTACATCATCTGCTGGCTTCGAAGTTCTCAGCAACTTCTTCCCCAAAGACAAACCTGCAACCCATCGACGTTCCAATAAAATGTTCCCCTTTAACACATAAACAAAAATAACCACACAATATGCTTGCCTCAAACCTCTATCTGTCCTCTACATACAGTGAGAGTGGACTCCCCCGTTTTGGGCGGGTCCATACTCCACCTCGCCTGGCGGCGGTCCTCACTCGCTGGGAGGGTCTTCCTCCATCCGGAGCCAGGCTCCCTCAGTCGTCCGCCAGCGCTCAGAGGGGGCGGACGTCGCTCCGTGTTCCTCCCTCTCCACTCTCTTATTTCAGGCTTTCTGCCTTATTAAAACATGTCTAACTTATAAATAAACATTGCTACTGTCGCTGGGCACACGACCAACTACAAGTGATCACTATGAACTGGCGTATATCGTGCTTACCACAGATTAATTGGTCGAGGGCGCTTTCCCTCTGACGGCGTCTGGTCAGGGCGCTCCACACAGCCCACAATAATGCTTCTGGGCGATTTAATATCTGCTCGTCGACCAGGACTTGAGACCACAACGTTCCCAGCTCGATTCCACAGCTGGTACGTCTACACTCTTCTCTTCTCTTAGAGATATATCACTAGGGGTTCCCTTCTGGCGGGAGCTCAACGGAGCGCGGCTTCCCCCTGCGATGTCTGGCACTCAAGTGAGGTCAAGGTCCTCCGGAAGCGAGCCTCACGCCTCCAGCAAAATGTCCACATCTCCTAGCCAGTCATTTATCTATTTTCTTCTGCATTGCCCATAATCTCAAACTGTTACACATATCCAACCAGCTATTTTACATATGCGTTATCACCTCAAATTTTGCTAGACCTTCTAGTTAGGTCAGGCTTGCTGAATAACTCTCAAGAAGGGAGACTCGTTTCTCCTGCAGGCTGAGATCATAACACAGGCTGAGATCATAACTCACAACAAGATGCTACACTACTGAAATTGATACATGCCTCCTTCTTGATTTGACTGATTGTTGCTTGCTTATTGGTCAGTGACTGGTATATTTGGTGTCGTGGCATTATATTTCTGTCCATTGCTGATCGTCTGTTGCCAGAAGCTGATCGCTGCTTGCTTATTGGTCAGTGTCAGTGTACCAGCTATCTGTGTTAAGGTAGTGTACCAGCTATCAGTGTTAAGGTAGTGTACCAGCTATCAGTGTTAAGGTAGTATACCAGCTATCAGTGCTAAGGTAGTGTACCAGCTATCAGTGTTAAGGTAGTGTACCAGCTATCAGTGCTGAGGTGTACCAACTATCAGTGCTAAGGTAGTGTACCAACTATCAGTGCCAAGGTAGTGTACCAGCTATCAGTGCTAAGGTAGTGTACCAGCTATCAGTGCTAAGGTAGTGTACAAGCTATCAGTGCTGAGGTAGTGTACCAGCTATCATTGCTGAGGTAGTATACCAGTTATCAGTGTTGAGGTGGTGTACTTAATATATTTAGCAAAAAAAAAAAAAAACAAAAAAGGTAAAATCAATATGAAGTTCTTGTTTTGTGGAGTGAAATAGTACAGATTGACCAGTTTACACTAAACTCTGATTCATAATTTATTTCATTAATATGTACTGTTGTATAGTTTAGTATATAGTATAGCCTTTTTTACCCATATATTCATTGCAGAAGAAACTCTGCAGTCCTGAAAATATAGATTGCCTATTATGAGAAAGCTTTATTAAATACCAAAGATTATGTATTTGATATTTGTTGTCCTAAAGACCTCAATATTTCTCAATTGTTTCTTTTGTAGCTCCTACTGTCATCAGAAGACTGTCACCTGCACTGCCACCAACCATTAGGCTTAGAGATCATGTGTGTCAACAATGCTGTGTACATGATGGCATGAGCAGTGTTGAAGCACAACACTGGCAGATAGAGTGCATATACATCATAGTGTGAGCAGTGACATGAAGCACAACACAGTCAGATTGACTGCATATACATCATAGTGTGAGCAGTGTCATGAAGCACAACACTGTCAGATAGACTGCATATACATCATAGTGTGAGCAGTAAGTGACATGAAGCACAACACTGTCAGATTGACTGCATATACATCATAGTGTGAGTAGTGTCATGAAGCATAACACTGTCAGATAGACTGAATGCATGGTGGTTGTCATCAGCAGTGTCATGAAACTCATTACAGTGTCAGAAAAACTGTACTTCATGAATTTGGGTAAGACGTTGTCTTGAACTAATTTCAACATCCTGATTGTTACATCCGCATCCTCAACATCCTGTGGATGGATGTTACTCAACTCTTTCAGATAGAATAGTCATGTGTTTCCTTATTACCCATTGCGATAAACACACTTTCATCCAAAGCACTCTACATACATGTCTCTATGTATGTATGTATGGGTGATACATATATCTATAGAAGATATATATCTGGAGGTTATCTGGAGATGATTTCGGGATTTTTTTAGTGTTCCCCGCGGCCCAGTCCTCGACCAGGCCTCCACCCCCCAGGAAGCAGCCCGTAGGGCAGGGGCATAGGGTGAAAGAAACTCTGCCCATTTTTTCTCGCCGGCGCCTGGGATCGAACCCAGGACCACAGGATCACAAGTCCAGTGTGCTGTCCACTCAGCCGACTGGCTCCCTGATAGATATATATCTATAGAAGTGATACACTGACATTGTAAAATCTTGAACAAACTTGAACAAGACCGGATAGATATATATCTATAGAAGAGATACACTGACATTGTAAAATCTTGAACAAACTTGCCACAGTGTTTGTTTTACATATTTACAAAGTTTTACATGCACTAAATCTCCTGTTGGGAACTACATGTTGAGGAGTACATATGTACTGTATATATGTTTTACACTTGATAACTCACAGGACATATTGTATAGTATATTTTAAGTCTAGCATATTTTATAATATAATAAGCACAATATTTTACTATTTATGAATCAACCATACCATCAATTTACAAATCAGATTTTCCATTCTCGTATGTCTTGACAATTCAGTTGCTTTATATTTCTACCAAATTGGATTTTTCTCTGTAGCTTATTTGATATTCTGGGCTATCTGTTGACAACAGAGGTACCACTATAACCCGGTTGCAATGTTGTAACTTATGTTACAATATTTGACATTCCGAGCTATCTGTTGACAACAGAGGTACCACTATAACCTGATTGTCTCTGCTGGCTACAGTGTTGTAACTTGTGTTATTTACAGATCCCAAAATCCAAGTATTTGGCACCTTTTAACATTTCCTTTAATAATACACAAAAACTGCATTTTAAAAAACCATATCATGAATATGTATTACTTAGAATTTTCTGTAATATTTATAAAGCATACAAGAATTTAATAATAAATAATAATAATCATAATCATTGTCTACAAGACTTCAGTAATCAAATGTAGTAAATTTCTTTAGATAATAATATTTAAGTTCTTGGATCAACTAACTTTAAAGATTTTTAAATTGAAGTAAACTACAAATGTTTCTTCAAAAGAAAAATCTAATCAGTGTTGAATATTCAAAAATATTATGTTAAAAGTCTCATATAATAGCCTACAAAAAATGTACAAAGAAAAAATCTGTGTTAAATATTCATTGTCTAAAACTGTGTTCAGAAATACTCCAAAGCTAAATATGAGTGCCCATTCAGGAGAGAAACTGTATCACTGTTCAGAGTGTCTAAAAGACTTCTCCAAAATATCAGCCCTAAAATCACACATGAGGATTCATACAGGGGAGAAACCATATCACTGTTCAGAGTGTCTAAAAGATTTTTCACAAAAATCACATCTAATATCTCACATGAAGATTCATACAGGAGAGAAACCATATCCCTGTTCAGAGTGTCTAAAGGATTTTTCAACAAAATCAAGTCTTGATAGACACATTAGGATTCATACAGGAGAGAAACCATATCACTGTTCAGAGTGTCTTAAAGATTTTTCAGAAAAATCGAGTCTTGATAGACACATTAAAATTCATACTGGAGAGAAACCATATCACTGTTCAGAGTGCCATAAAGATTTTTCAGAAAAATCAAAAATAATATATCACATGAAGATTCATACAGGAGAGAAACCATATCACTGTTCAGAGTGTCTTAAAAAATTTTCAGAAAAATCAAATCTAATATATCACATGAAGATTCATACAGGAGAGAAACCATATCACTGTTCAGAGTGTCTTAAAGATTTTTCACGAAAATCAGATCTTAAAATACACATGAGGATTCATACTCGAGAGAAACCATATCACTGTTCAGAGTGTCTTAAAAAATTTTCCCGAAAATCAGATCATCAAAAACACATGAGGATTCATACTGGAGAGAAACCATATCACTGTTCAGAGTGTCTTAAAGATTTTTCACAAAAATCAAGTCTAAAAATACACATGAGAATTCATACAGAAGAGAAACCATATCACTGTTCAGAGTGTCTTAAAGATTTTTCAACAAAATCAAATCTAAAAATACACATGAGGATTCATACAGGAGAAAAACCATATCACTGTTCAGTGTGTCTTAAAGATTTTTCACAAAAATCAAGTTTAAAAATACACATGAGGATTCATACAGGAGAGAAGCCATATCACTGTTGAGTGTGTCAACAGGTAAAAGTCTGGATGTCAATTAAGTTTAGTAAGACACATGAAGCTTTTTGTAGAAAAACAATAGCATTACCTTTTTATTGTGACTTTACACAATTTAAATGTAGTTATTCTTAATAGTTGCAAAGTACAGAAGTAACAGAACCCATTCAGTGACAACGGTTTTAGAGTCAAGACATTTTCCACCACCCTAGAAAGACCGAGTTCTGGGATGATTTTTGTTGCTCTGTGGAACTTTGTCCAAAGCATATATGTCCTTCTTAAGCTTAGGTTTTCTTTCCTGGATACAACTCTCCAAATGGTGGTGCACCAGAAACTTGTACATTTAAATAACTACAGTGGAATCTCGGTTTTCAAATTTTTTAGTTCTCGAGCTCAATTTCTTCGAAAAGTTTCGACTCAGTGCTCGAAGTTTGCCTCGGTGCTTTAGTTTGTTGATATACGTATGGGCGAACCGAGCACATGGCGCACTTCAGTTTACCAGTACCTCCCAACTAGTGATGACCGTGCTTTAATTCTTTGTGAACAATTTCATTGTTTTTGTGTTTTTTTTTGGTTTCTGAACATAAAAGTTCTTATATATCATGCCATGGGTTCCAAGAAACTCAGTGTTAAAGCTCAACCTAAGAAAAACATTGGGAAAAGCAAGTGTCTATAGAGAGATTCTTAGTAAGACAAGCAAGCAAGCAGTAAGCCACAACCAGGTCCTAGTGGTATGCATGCAAAATTTGAGAGAGAGAGTACCCCAGAAATGTCATCTCTGCTGTAATAATGGAAGGGGACTCCCCTTCCAAACACTAACGCCTCTTCTCCTACCCCTTTCCTCACTGTCTCCTATACACCAACAAGAGTCCTCAATATAGGTAAGGTACCTATGAGTATTATTCTGTATAAAACGTATTTTCTAGGGGAGCCCCGTCGGCTCCCGGAGCTATTCCGGCTGATATTGCTGATGTCAGACTTTGGCAGCAGTTATGTGTATGGAGTTCTTTAGGCCTACCGGGGACCATGAGCCAGAACCTGGCCCCCTCAGAGAGGCACGAGGAGCAATGACCTATAGAAACCTTCGTATGGAGGCAGAGGTCATGTGCTTTGACTCCAGATCTAGTCTCGGCTCTGTGCCTTGTGGTGTGGTGACGGCTTTCTTATAGGGTATGCACAAGCTAGTAGTATATTTCTTCAGTACTCGGGCTGCATGCGCCTAGGGTTCACTTCCCTAGGTGCCCGGTAAGTGCTGTCCTTGGGGATTGGGGACACCTTCCACAAGTTCCTTAGGTCTGCCTCTGCTTGGTCGTTGCTTGGTTTTCGTCCACCCTTTGTGTGCTAGGGTGTTCTGGCTCCCTGGTTCGCCTTAGGGTAACAGGCAGTTTGTACTGGTAGGGGCACAGGGTACTGCGCAGCTTGTTTTCATCATTCATAGCGGCTAGCTCTGTTCTGCCTGGTTACGCTGTCCTCTTGCATTGTTTTCTTTTTGTTGCCTATCTGGTGGGTTGGGGGGGATGTCTGCCTTGGTTGTTGCCCCCTGTGTACTGAGTATGCTTATCTGTTCTGGTGGTACCCCCGGCTAGGTCCCTGTGAGTGTACACGTCCCTGGGGTTCAGTTACTTTGAAAGCTGTTTGATAGAATTGGGCGCTGCTTAGCAGTACCTTGCCTGGGCTTCCCTGATCGTGAGTTCCATCTCAGGACCCTGGGAATCCCCACAGGGGCATGCGGATTCGATGGATGTGACCCTTCATTCTCCCCCCTTCGCTTTGTGCAAGTTTGAGTGTTACTCTGTCTCCTAGTCTCAGGGTGACTCTCACTGTTTTTGACTCGGTCAAGCTGCATGTTGGGTCAGTGACACTTTCGACCCGGAGTCCTGCGAGTTTTGTTGTTTGCTTGTGACTCAGTTTACCCAGTTTACTGTTGACATTATACGGGTACAGGCGGTGCAAGCGTTGCATGTTAGGTTTAGGTTGTTGCAACTCGCTAGGTTGATTGCTGCGCCGGAAGCCCCAAGGCTGCCCTGTTTTGCTTATAGGGACCCGGACTTAGGGGTGTTGGTCGCTTCGGCCTTGGTTCAGTCTGCGTCCTCCTCGTCCTTTCCCTGTTGTGGTTCGATCTGGTCCCCCCCCCTCTTTTCTCTGCTTTCGGCTCTGAAACATCTGAGGGTTTCGGAGTCGGGGCAGGGTTTAGAGGGTCTTGAGACTTGGTCAGTCTTGGGGAATGCCCCTTCCGGAGTAGCGATGGAGGCATTCGAGTCGTTTCCCTGCTGAAGTATCTGGGTCTGAATGGTGGGCCCCCTTCCATCCGGCTTCTACGGCTGTGCCAGCCTTTCCTTTAGGGAGGACTGGCTAGCTGGGGGTGGCTGCTCACACTCGTGGTGTTCTGAGTGTGTTGATGGTGAATGTATATAGTGTGTGACAGTGTATAGTGTGTACATATTTTGTAAATATGCATAAATGAACATGAAACATTGGTGTGAATAACTGTATGAAGGGAGGAGCAATGTTGGTGAATACAATGTTGGAGGAGTGAGGGAGGGCTGGCTGGGTGTGGCTGCTTACACTCGCTGTGTTCTGAATGTGTTGATGGTGAATTTATATAGTGTGTGACAGTGTATAGTGTGTAAATAGATTGTATATATACATAAATTAGCATGATACATGGTAAATATGTGCAACATATATGTACACAAGTGTCATGCACGTAACACAGTGTCCTCGGACAGTACGGATGTTTTACTGCCATAATATAGTGTACGGGTTCATTATACATAGGATTAGCATGTAAAAACAAATAAAATGTATTTGGAACTGTGAGCAAAAAATAAACAAAAATATATACACGTCAACTCACGTGCCCCGCCCCGGGCACCCTACTGGCCCCCGAGAGCATACGTCACAGGCGAATAGGGAATGATGACGTCACGCGCCAACTTACGGACCCCATAGCAGCCAAAGTAAGTACAAGTTCGAATTTTTTTTGACATACCCATACTGAGGGAATGGTTTTTGACACTTTAAAAAACAAAAGAATTTTTTCAAGAGAATTTATTTCCTGCTCACTGGGGGGAGGGGGGTGGGGTGTCATATTTATAGGCTGCGCAGTTAAAGGGTTAAAGATTTTTCAGGAAAAGAATTCTAAAAATACTCATGAGGAATCATACAGAAGAAAAACCATATCACTGTTTGGATGTAAATTAAGTTTAGTAAGACACATGAGCTTTATGTAGAAAAACAATAGCATTACTTTTAGTGACTTTACACAATTTAAATGTAGTCATTCTAAATAGTTGCAAAGTACAAAAGTAACAGAACCCATTCAGTGACAAACGGTTGTGAGTCAAGACATTTTCCACCACCCTAGATAGACCGAGTTCTGGGATGGTTTTTGTTACAATGTGGAACTTTGTCCAAAGCAGATATGTCCTTCTTAAGCTTAGGTCTTCTTTCCTGAATACAACTCTCCAAATGGTGGTGCATCACAAACTTGTACAGTTGAATAACTACAGTGGAATCTCGGTTTTCAAATTTTTTGGTTCTCGAGCTCAATTTCTTCGAAAAGTTTTGACTCGGTGCTGGAAGTTTGCCTCGGTGCTCGAGTTTGTTGATACACGTATGGGCAAACTAAGCACATGGCGCACATAAGTTTACCAATGCCTCCCAACTAGTGATGACCGTGCTTGAATTCTTTGAAAAGAATTTCATTGTTTTTTGTTTTTTTTTGTTTCTGAACATTAGAGTTCTTATTATATATCACGCCATGGATTCCAAGAAAGTCAGTGGTAAAGCTCAACCTAAGAAAAACATAGGGAAAAACAAGTGTCTTTTGACAAATTCTTAGTAAGACAAGCAAGCAGTGAGCCATAACCAGGTCCTAGTGGTATGCATGCAAAATTTGAGAGAGAGTACCCCGGAAATGTCATCTCTACGGTAATAATGGAAGGGGACTCCCCATCCAAACACTAACATCTCTTCTGCTACCCCTTTCCTCGCTGTCTCCCATACACCAACAAGAGTCTTCAATATTGGTAAGGTACCTACGAGTATTATTCTGTATAAAATGTATTTTCTGGGGGAGCCCCGTCGGCTCCCGGAGCTATCCAGGCTGATATTGCTAATGTCAGACTTTGGTTTAAGTCATGTGTATGGAGTTCTTTCAGCCTACTGGGGACCACGAGCCAGAACTTGGCCCCCCTCAGAGAGGCACGAGGAGCAATGACCTATAGAAACCTCCGTTTGGTTGGAAGCATTCTGTGTCTGCCATCAACCAGGTCAGGCACCCAGAAAGGTAAGCGCCCCAAAACAAACCCCTATTCTGGTTAAAATTGCTACAAAAACCCAAACTAGTGGACAGAACTCCCCAAACAGAAACGTGCAAACGAGCATGATGTCACACATAGCTGTGCTGCTGTCTGTGCAGCCCCCCTCCCCTGGAGCGGGAAGGGAAAGCCCCAGACCCCCGTGCCAGCAATCCTCACCCTAGTTCTGAGGCTGATGCGCTAGGCAGAAGTCATATGTGCTTTGGCTCCAGATCTAGTCTCAGCTCTGTGACTTGTGGTGTGGAGGCAGCTTTCTTATAGGGGATGCACAAGCCAGTAGTATTTCTAAAGTACTCGGGCTGCATGCACCTAGGGTTCCCTTCCCTAGGTGCCCGGTAAGTACTGCCCTTGGGGCCACCTTTCACAAGTTCAATAGAACTGCCTCTGCTTGGTCGTTTTTTGCTTGGTTTTCGGCCGCCCTTTGTGTGCTATGGGTGTTCTGGCTCCCTGGTTCACCTTAAGGTAAGAGGCAGTTTGCACTGATAGGGGCCCTGAGGCTGCCCTGTTTTGCTTGTAGGGACCCGGACTTAGGGGTGTTGGTCGCTTCGGCCTTAGTTCAGTCTTCACTCCCTCGTCCTTTCCCTGTTGTGATTCGATCTGGTCCCCCCCCCCCCTTTCCTCTGCTTCCGCCTCTTAAACGTTTGAGGGTTTTGGAGTCGGGGCAGGGTTTAGAGGGTCTTGAGACTTGGTCAGTCTCGGGGGATGCCCTTTCTGGAGTGGCCACAGAGGCATACGAGTCATTCCCCCTGGTGAAGCGTGGGTCTGATTGGTGGGGCCCCCTTCTGTCCAGCTTCTACAGGTGCGCCAGCCTTTCCCTTGCGGCTTACCTCCTGTGCGACCCGGATTACGACTTTATTATAGACCCGTCTTCGTTCAGGTCTGGGTCTTCATTTCATTCTGTTTGGGTCTAGGTTTGTTGGTTCTCAAGGGTCCCGGGGAGGGGGGAGCCTTCCCGGAGGGGTCGTGCCAGGGTTCAGGGTTCTGCTCGTCAGATTTGCCACTGGTACCAGTTTCGGTGCCGGCACAGGCTTTGGAACCGTCTTCATCTGGTTCGCGGTGTTCACTCTGTGCAAGGCTCAGGTTCTTGTAAGGGGCACCGGCCCTCTCATGGTGCATCCCATTGACGGAGCAATTGGGGGGGAGGCTTGCTCTGTTCACACATGGCTGGTCCCACGATTCCTGGGCTTTTTGGGTCGTTTCCGATGGTCTGCTGTGGCGTTAGGTGTCTCGTCCTCCTTCAGGGGACTCGGGGCTAGCAGGACTTCTCTTCTCCTGCGCTCTATCGGGTTATCTTGGAGTGGGTTCGTTTGGGTGTGGTCGAAACAATGACATCTCTCAGATGGGTTTCCCATCTGTTCCCAGTCCCGAAATGGGACTGTGCAGACCTGAGGTTCATTCTGGACTTGTCCTGTCTGAACCTCTGGGTTCATTGCCCCTCCTTCCAGATGACTACTCTGGCCCAGGTCTCGCTGCTGTTGGAGCCGAGTGCTTGGATGGTGTCCCTGGACCTCTGGGACGTGTATTGGCACATCTTGATTCATCCGGGGTTTAGGGACTGACTCGGTTTTGTTGTAGGGGGCGTCGGTTACCGCTTTTGTTGTCTCCCATTCAGGTTGAACCTGGCACCTCGCATTTTCACATGCCTTACCCGGGTTGCGGTGGCCCGTCTGCATCTTGTAGGTGTTCGGATGCTGGCCTACCTCGACGACTGGCTGGTATGGGCTCCCACCCGGTCCCCTTGTCTGCTCGCCAGGAATTTGGGTCTTTCCCAGCTCGCCGGGTTCGAGTTCTCGATGAACTGGTGGGAGTCCCATCTGGTCCCCTCCCAGGTTTGGACTTGGCTGGGTCTTGTTTGGGACTCTTGGACCGCTTCCTTGTCTCTCCCTTCTGGATCTCTGCTTCACCTGCGTTCCCGCCTTTGCCATTTTCTGGAGGGCTCCCGGGTCACCCCGGCGGTTGCTCGAGGGTCTGTGCGGGAGCCTGAACTTTGTGATGATGGTGTACCCACTGGGTCGGGCTTGACTTCGTCGGCTGTTCTGGTTCCTTTGGGGACGTCCCTTCCGCCTCTCTCACGACCCCTGGGGGCCTTGCGTCGGTTGCTGCGTCACCGGCTTCCTCTTCGGGTTTTCCGGGGTTCTGTGCCTTGGCGCCTACCCGAGCCCTCGCTCGATGTGTTCACGAACGTGTCATCGCTCGGCTGGGGGCTTTGTGACCAGTGCTCACCAGGCCAGCCACGGGCGGAGGGGTCCAACCTTCCGTCGATCCCACAGCACGGTGTAGGAGTTCGCAGCAGTGTGGTTTTCTCTTCGGAGGGTTCAGTCGCCCGTTGATTGACAATCAGGCTCCATTCGGACAGCTCCTTGGTGGTTCATTGTCTAAACCGAGGGGGTTCGATGCAGTCCGTGGCTCTTTGGGGCTGGTCGCTTCGGGTGACTCGTCTGCTGAGTTCTAGTGGTTTGGCTCTCCTGGCAGTTCACGTTCGAGGGGTGTCCAACGTTCTGGCGGACGGCCTGTCTCAGTTCATTCCTCTGTCCACGGAATGGACCGTCGACTCCGACTCATTCAGTTGGCTCTACTAGATGTTTGGGTGCCCGGAGGTGGACCTCTTCGCGTCAGCGTGGTCGTGGTGTCTTCCGATATATGTGGCGCCCTTCCCCGACTGTGAAGCCATCGGGGTTGATGCCTTTTGGCAGGACTGGTCAAGGTGGGGGGTTCCTGTACCTCTTTCCCCCAGTTCCGCTGTTGTTCCAGGTCCTGACTCGCTTGGAGACTTACCAGAGGAGAGTAGGCCTCTTGGCCCCGTGGTGGCCGACCCAGCCTTGGTTTCAGGTCCTGCTTGCTTGGTGTCCGAACCCAGAGGTTTTCCCGTGGCTCCGCTTTTTTCAGCAGATCGGTTCGGTACATTACGTGGCTGGTTCGATCTTTGAGTCTTTGTGTATGGTATTTTTTATTTGAGTCTATCATCATCTATATGGTGATCAGGTGGCTTCA